CTACTACTACTACTACTACTACTTCTACTAGAACTACCACCACTACTCTGAGAACCTCAGGGAGGGTCTCCTGCTGGTGCCCAGAGTCAGGACCAAACACGGTGCAGCTAAAACCTGGAATTGGATTTCAGAAGATGTGAGACGGGCCTCAACTCTGATAATGTTCACATCCAGGCTGGAAACAGTTCTGTGTAGTTGTGCATATGACAGCTGAGAGTATTTAATCTGTTCTCTTCTAATTAATGATTATATTTATGTTTTATGGATTGATCTCATCTGCCTCTTTGCTTTTAATGTAATTAATGAATAATTGTGTTTGTGTTCTGTGGACTGACTTTGTCTGTCTTCTTATAGTCTGTCACAATAACCAATGGTGCATTTTGCTGGAAAAAAAAATCTGCAGGGTCAAAAATATACATACAGCAATGCTCATATTTCATTAAAGGTCTTTTTACCTCAGCTGGGTGCTGCTGGAGCCGCCCACAAGCTCCTGGTTGTATCTTCAAACACTCCTGACTATATTTCTCACACACACACACACACACACACACACTCTCTTGACCTTGTAACATAACTGCCACACAAATTTTGAGCTGCATGACGACGATTTAAATCACCTTCGTAGAGCCTTGCATACTTGCCAAACACTGTCTTTTTGTAAAGCCTGAACATGGAGCCAGGAGCTGAAATCTAGTTTCCTTTAAGAGTGTTTCAATTACATTAAAAGGGTTAGTATGGAAGTTTTGCCCCATGATGCCAAGAAAAAATCACCGTCTGTCCGAGCTTTAAAAGATGAACTTATCACCGAGACATTAACGGCACACTTTTACATCGCATTGAATTTCTAATGATGTAACTTGAATGTTTGTTTGTGGGCTTGTGATGATATCCAAACGCGATCCGAAGACCAACACTATGCCTGAACAACACATCCAGACGGTGCAACGGCTGCTCCGCTGAACCCTCGCTATGCTTGACGCACTGGTCATTACTCACTCCGAGTGTGACATCAACACAGTGCAGAACCTTTCACACCTGCTGCAGTCTTTTCTCAAACAATAGGCGTCCCTGCTGAGGACAGAACACGATCCACACCGCTGGAGGTGACGTACAGGCGGGCACACCATCTAAACACAATGCACAGTTTTCTACGACTGTTGCATCAAATCTCCCTCCTCGAGTTCTGTACCATCTGGGAATTACTGCTGAACGATCAATCAAAATACAGCCAAGTGCAACGTTTGAATCACAGGAGCTGCCGTTGTTTTTCACAAAAGGCAAAAGGCGCCACAAAACACCAACATAAAGACGCATTGTGGTGCTAAAGGGACAATGTTCTCCAAACATAAAGGGACATGTGTGTTTTTTCTGGAAGACAAAAAAAAAAGAGACCAACTGTGACTAATACCGTGGCATCTATACAACTGTAATGTGGTTTATTTGGTATCAGCCGTATGGAGACCCCTCTGGTTCTGCACTGATGGACTTCAGAGACGCCTACAGAGACGGAGCTGCTCACAAACTCATCCATCCTGCAAGTTCATGCTGAACACGTACCAGAAACAGCAACCGTGTGCCAGAAGTGACATCACTGCTGCCGGTGTGGGTTGCACAAGCAAGAGAAACAACAGCAAGCACAAACTTCTATCAACGTGCTGCACAGCTTCAGGTGCTGCTTCAAGCTTTGTGGTCAAGCTGCTGATTCAAACCGGGACGTTTAGCTGAACTGAACTGAATGAGGGAGAGATCTTACCTGGAGCAGATTTCAAAGTGTGTACCAGGGAATCGGTAGCTCCACACCAGAGCCTCGTCTTCACCCTCGCAGCTGAAAACCCTGTCCTTGTGCTTCTCGGAGGAAATGTGCTGCTTCCACTGCCGCTCGCTGTTGCTGTCTTTGCCGCACAGACGGCAGTACAAGCCGCTCTGAAACACAAAGGTCTTTTAATCGTCTTTTCTTACAGACTCAGTCAGATAACACAAGTTTACTGCAAACCCACCGTTGGTTCAGCGTAGTCGGTCGGCATGATGATGCACTTTTCCTCCGGGGCGGGCTGGGTGAGCGTGGCTCCGTCTGCTTGGCGGTTTTGGCCCGTTAACGTCAGCCACATGTCGTACATCTGCTGCATGTCCAGCACTACAGGCACAAAGAAAGCTCAGAGGCTCAGCTGCACTTATCTCAGCACGATGTCCACGTTAACAAACACGACCAAACTCTACAAGTGGAGCTTCACCGAACATCTGTATCACTTCAACAACTCACGCTCGTTGTTTTTCATATACGTCCACATCTCCTTCTCCTCCTCGCTGTGAGCAAACATGCAGTTCCCAGGGTAGGTGCATTTCTTTTTTTCCAAAATCTGGGTGCATATCTGCGAGGAGAAAACGTCACGGCGTTAAACACGGACCACGCCGATGAGCACGAACTTTCAGCAGACAAAACCTTCGACTGTCTTTTGAAACGTCAGTGTAGGAACCATTTATGTTGATTGTTGTGAGGTAATTTACTATTGATTATTTGGACACATGGTGTATATGTAGAGGGCACAGGTGACAGGAAGAGGAGGGCACAGGTAGGGGGAGCACAGACATATACCAGATTCACCAGAGGAAAACTGCTGTATTTTAATTTTTTTGCATATCATCAAATAAACCACCCACTAAACGGCAAGTATGCAGACTGGAAATTCTGTTTTTGGTCTGCGTCTGTTCACTCTGCTGCACTTGTTCAGTAACGCCAATTAAGGAACACCAGGATAGTGAAAAATTGCCATTACAGTCAGTATAGTCAATGCTGGAATAATGCAAAAAGGTGATGTCGCTGCCACCTTAAGGCCGATGGAAGTCTGAAGTTGGAAAGTCTCACTGAGAAATAGAAAAAAGCTCATGTGATGATAGATTTCTCTCTCGTTAGCAAGAACATTCTTCAGTTTGGAGGAAAAAAAACATCAATTTAAATATGAAAAATCGAACCTGTGAGAATCATGTCTGAAAAAGAATATTTGTTTTTTGTACTCTGCAGACGCTTTACGAGAGCTTAAAGAGGATTTTGGCGTATCGATCTACAAATTCAGAAGCAGCATCGTGAAAATAATTGAAGTTAAAAGGAGACACTCTGACTTTAACTTGCCCACAACTGTACTGTCAGCTTCAGCTTCTTTATAAAGTTGTTGAAAGTGATGGAAAACACACGCTGTAACTGACTCGCTGTTGACGTGATGTGCACGCTAACCGCTCTGCTACGAGGACCAGGTGACCCGTATTCATAGGAAAACACTCTCTGTGGTTACTGTGAACATTAAAGAAAAATAAAAAACTCTGGGAATGAGATCTGAACTCAGACATCTAGAGAAACATGGTGGCTGGTTTTGGGTGTTCAGGTTTACACACGACACATCTGTGCGCAGATTAAAGGTTATTTATGCACCAGTATGTGAGATTTTGAATATTAACATAACAGCAAACACTACGGCATCACACGGACGTTGTACTCTCTCTCTGTTTGTTGTAATCCGGCTGTTAGTTCAGGATGATTTAAGGTATTTTTGACTCAATGCTGTTATTTAACAGCAGGAAGCCAAACTGTGATGCACACACACACACGTATACTTTAGCTACGATATGTGCCCAGACTGTTTTTAATTTCCTGTTATTAAACACTGAGTTCAATTATGTTCATCAGAAAAGTTTGAGTGAAAAAAAGCCTTAATTAGAACCAGGCGATCCCGTACAGAAGATGTATAAAACGAAGGACACAGGTCAGAGAGGTGAGGGCAGATCTGACAGGTCTAGAGGAGGAACACTTACGTCATAGTACATGGGGAAGTTCTTGGCATGCGGCAGCGGTCGGACCTGAACCCATTTACTTCTTTCTGGGGACTTGGCCAGCAGGACTCGTCTCTCCTTCGTAAACCTGGAGATGTGGACACCAGAAGGGGGCAGAACTACTGTAAGAGAGTTGCTTTTGAATAACAAAACACCATTAGAGACGTTATGAATGGTTGAGCAGGTTCACGGCTGTAAAATAGCATTTTGTGTGTAACTGCAGCTGTGACGGGATCTCTGAAGTCGAGGGTTTGTCATTTGCTCGGTTGGTGAGTGTAATTATGTAGTTTGTGCTCGCCAAATTTCAGGTGTGTACGATGTTCCCCTTAGGAGGAGATAGATTTTGAAAATGGCCTGAAATGAGTGAAAATGGCCCGTAATGCTCGCCATTTCTCCAACATGGTGGGTTTCCTGTAGGGTTTACGGAAAGGTGCTGATGGGCTTTTTTGTGCGTCCCGACCTGCTCCGTGTGCCGACCACATGTCGTAGCTCCAGATCAAACGTGCTTCTGACAGGACTCAATTTTCAGGGGGGCGCTGTGGAGCCATTTTGGCAGTGACATGCCTAATTCCTTTAAAATATAAAATGTTGGTGTGTGTGTGGTGACTTTGGTGATTTTTTTGGGCATGTTTAGGCCCTCAAGATCACGTTTGTTTGGGACGATAAATAACAAACCCAAGGGTTTCTAAAGGGTCCTTGTATTGGTCGTGATCGGACCCTAATAATGCTTTCAAACTGAACGACCGCAGCCTAGATCAAAGACAGGAGAAGAACTCCACAGTGAAGGAAGAATAACTGTCAGGACTTCCAGACAGTGACGTAATAAGTACCAGACTCGAGGGTGGATAACTGGACTCGTGTAAGTTCAGTTCTGACACCATGTGGCAGCAGCGGGTCCAGTTTTATTCATCACAATCTCTCATAACATGACAAAGCTATGTATATGGATGCATTCTGCAATTGAAGGAAGACAAATTCTTCCATATTTTGTGTGGCTTTCCAGACTTGTACAGGGACCATATCGCCGTGACTCACGCGTGTCTGGCTTTGGCGGTGCAGTACTTGAGGGCTTTGTCCGGCTCACTGATCTGACCGTCCCGCCAGCAGTGACCGCAGACGAACTTCATCTTCAGGTTCAGACTCCTTCTAGCGCCTCCTGCTGCTCCTTTTGGTTTGCTCCAGCCTCCTCCAGAAGACAGCTGCTTGAAATTAAGATATAAAAACAACGTGAGTACACAGAATAAATCCCATAAAATGCCGAGTTTGCAGGCAGAACTGCATTAAATCACAATCACAGCGTCAACATTTGATCATTTCTACGATTTTCTGAGCTACCAGCACAGATGATATAAAAACATGATGAAAAAACAGGACAAGCTGACCCAGAACAAACGGTGACGAGTTGGTCTTTATGGAGGAAACCATCGTCCTGTTTGCATATAAATGTAAAATAATGATTCTTACTCTGTTTCCTTTCTGTTTGCTCGGGTTTTGCTGCTCCTCCTTTTCACAATACTTCATGGACACCTTCACAATCTCATCAGGGCTCATACCTGCAGATAACAAACACAGAAATAACATCGCTGTCCACATGTAGAGAAAGACTACCAGCTACTGTTTCTGCTATCGATATCAAAAGGTGAACACTCCTACAATTATGTTTTCACTCTCTTTTCATTGAATCGCTAATCAGTTAGAAACGAGCGGATAAACACCGACATGAATACCAAAACCACAGAGAGTTATGTGTTAGCAAACAGCTACTTATTTACACATCCAGCGTTTCTCTCCACCTGACAGATGTTAAACTCAACATATTCTGTCCTTTAAACTCTGGTTTGGTCTTCATTTGCTGCTAAATGATCACTTTAGGTTCGCGCTGAGAAACCAAGCTGACCAATCAGGGGTCAGGTGAAGAAACTTTCTTCCTCTGTGTTACGTTGTGCAAAGATGGGATGCTCATTATCAGCAAAGAGTGACGTGTAACTGAGGAATCGTAGATATCTATTCATCATGTTTTGTGAGGGCTGCAGGTGGTTCGGTGGTTAGCACCGTCGCCTCGCAGCGAGCAGGTCGCCGGTTGGCGTCCCGGTGAGGACACCCGGGATCTTTCTGCGTTTTCCAGGCCTGGAACCTAAAACCTTCCAGGTTTTCACGTGGAAACGTCGTGCATGCATCGGATCAGAGCGCACCTGTGTCTCGCTGCACCCTCCAGGTTTTGAGTTCGATGACCGAGTGGGCATAATGGCAGCTGTCCTCTCTCTGGCAGCCGTAGCGGATGGCTTGGCGGCACAAGTCCAAGTGGCACAGGACGCTCAGCGGGCGCACCTTTCCGTAGTTCACGTTGTGGGTCCTCACCACAAACGCCAAGCACCTGACGGGCACAGAGGGACAAATTAGAAAAAGGACTACAATCACTTCAAGACTGAAATGCGAGAGGACTCGAGACGACTCGTACGTTATAAACACACTCACTTATTAGCGTCAAAGTTGTGGCGAGCGGCCGAGTTAGAGCAGATGGTGCGATTGTCTCTGCAGCGCTCGCTGATGATTCTGGGTTTGCTGTCGTAGCACTCCTGCAGAGGGACGGGAGAGGAAAAGACCGGCGACGGGGCAGAGAGGCAGAGAGAGACGCATTTTAATAAACGTATTCTTTATGACTGAGACACGCAGCTCACTGAACACAACGTCAGCTTTAGGTCTGTGGTTTAAACATCTGATACACAAACAGGGAGAAAGTCAAGTGTGGATCATGTAAATGTGTAGAATTATGTTTTAATTCTGTGGAGGATGAAACATGACTTCATTGTCCTTAAACACATGAATAAATAAACAGCTTAACTCCATGATCAGTGGGCTAGTAAGCATGTCCACTGTATCTGGTTTAATTGATTTTTCAGAACAGATCATCCATGATTTGACGATACTTGCAGACTTTATTTTATTTTTTTATATTTGCCTTTGCTTTTACACGTCTCTCACCATCAGATGTTGGCAGTAGAGAAACCTCTTCATAATTGTGTATTCTGAAATGTGACAACAACAGAAGCATGACGGTGGGATAAACATGTGTTTAGTGCTTTAGCGCCCTCTAGAGTCTCGGCTCATAACTGCTCACTTGTGCACAGAAGACCTGCACTCGTCTATGGCCACAACTTTTGAAGTATTGCAATAAAAAGTATATTTCACGGAACAATAACAAGAGACTCTAGCACAGATTTTACTCTGTTTGTCTTCGTGTTAGTTCTGCATGTTAATTACAAAGGTTCTGCTTTTAATGTGGTGTCATATCAACATATCCAGACATTAACTCTTCCAGATAAAAACATATAATTGCCATGACAAGTTGACGAGTAATTCAAACAGGGTGCAGAGATGGACACAGAGCAGGTTGTAACTATGATTACATCTGATGTAAATTCAAGATTATTTTATTTTTATCACCGATACTTAAAAACACGAGCAACTACAACTGTCGGAGGTCAAGTTGTGCGCTTGAGGCAACAAATGCCTCAAGAAGCAATTTAACAGAGAAGAAGAAATTTAAATGCCTCCATTTTGTACACTATGTTAATTCTTTCCTGTATGTTTCTATCTAAAAGTGTCTATTTCAGTAATTATCTGTATTTATTCATGTTATTGGGACTTTGTGTGTGGAGTTAGTCCAACCTGTGCACTTCATTCTCACTAAAAATAAAGTAAATCAAGAACAAATGTCAAAAAAGTAGAAAAGAAATAGCATTCATCATCTTTATTATTAGTTTTATTGTAATTAATATCATTGTCATTATTATTATTATCATTATTATCAATAGTAGTAGTTTTGTTGTCATTTTTAATCCTCCATAGAATATTAAGGATCTTACTCTCAAAATGACTGACTGCGTAAAGGTTAGATGAAAAATATGTCCTATTACTGTTTTTAAAAACGCAGATAAACACAGATGTAAAAGTGAACTGACCTGACAGAGGAACATGAACGTGCCTTTGTTGTCCTGCAGGAGGCGAACGATGGCGTTCACAGGATCCGTCTCGAACAGCAGGTCCCTGTCCAGCGTTCCCTTCCTCTCCTCGGTCCAGACGTCGATCTCCAGCTGGTTGTAGGCAAACGTGCATTTCTCTCCGTACGGGCAGAGGCCCAGATCCCCAGACTTCATCAGCTCTGGACACGAGAGAAGACGCATCAACCGCCACATGAATCATTTCCAGTTTCACTTTTAGGTAACTGGCATAGGTTTGTGATCTTTAGTTGCTTTTTTCCCTGATCAGAGTGGCAGTAAATGGGGCGCCGCGAAAGCTCAACTGGTTGAGCTGGCGTCCTGCGTTCAGAGGTTCTAGTCCCTGACGCAGAGGTCATGGGTTTGAGTCCCGCTCATGGCCCTTTCCTGCAGGTCCTTCCCCCACTTTCCTGTCTCTCTCTCATATAAAGGCCCAAAAAAAGTCCTTAAAAAAGTGGCAGTAAATTGGCTCGATCACTCTGGCAACATGTAAACAAATGGAGCAACTTCCCCAAAACTACCGAGTCCTGAATCCAAACCGCATTCCTACCGACTGTAAAGTCCACACGAGTGTCTCTGTCTGAAAGAACCAACTGTGCTCAGATGTTTATCTGCCTGCGTCGGGGTTTCACTGCCCATCCATCCATCCATCCATCCATCCATCCATCCATTATCTCTACACCTTAATCCTCACTAGGGTCATGGGGGCTGGAGCCTATCCCAGCTGACTCAGGGTGAAGGCAGGTTCACCTGGACAGGTAACCAGTCTATCACAGGTAAATCAGTTTGCCTAAAAAAAATAGCAACGAACAAATAAGATTCACCAGAAAGAACATGATTTCCTGTTTCGTCCTGAGATTCTTACCTCTGCAAATTACAAACCGCCCGTTGAAGGTTGTCCGGTTGGGAATGCGTCGCACTCTGGTCCACTCTGCCGGACGTCCCGCCTTTAGTCTGCACAACAGGACGTCTCGTTTACAGCTGTGGACCAGGTCTGGCTTGTGAACGTAAGTATATATGCCTTGACCTGAGAGTAAAAAAAAAGAAATCAAGTGCTTGAGGATGCACATTGAATCACAAGTTTCTTTTAAGATCTGATGAGGCCAGAAAGGTGTTGAACTCCATCAAATCATGACCAGCTTAAAGAGCATCAGGTCGATTAGGAGCCAGTTTGAACGACGACCGGACTCCAGACGTACCTTCTCGAGGGAAGCAAGCTGAGCAGGCCTGCAGGAACTCGTGGGTGGAGGAGAGCGGGTTGGAGACCGCAGCTGGCCCTGGGTTGTCCTTCACCTCGTTTAAACAGTAAGAACAAGAGTTCAGTTAACGCAAAAGAAATCAAACTATCACAGAGTCTGCAACAGTCAGTCAGTCTTACTTTGTAGTGTTTTTTTGGAGATCGCATCACTGGAGCTGCAGCGCTATGAGGGAGGACACCTGAGGAGCAACCAGGGAACATGAATTACAAACGACACTGTGGTTAACGAGGCTAAACCAGCAAACACCAGAACGAGGAGCAGGAGCATCCCTCCCTACAAGACACCTATGAATCCTGAGCGATCCTTCACACGCTCTGTACTCAGAGTATGAGCGGCTACCTCAGAGTCCCACACTCCTGATTGAACAGGTTAAAAATTCATTTGTTCAATTAGGCTCATTAATAAGTACAATAGCTCTAATTGTTTTTGTTTTTTTTAATGTGCCATGTCTTTGGACTCATGAAATCATCCATCCATCATCTCTACTCCTTAATCCTCACCAGGGTCATGGGGGGCTGGAGTCTATCCCAGCTGACTCAGGGTGAAGGCAGGTTCACCTGGACAGGTAACCAGTCTATCACAGGGCTACACTTAGAGACAGACAACCAAGCACACTCACATTCACACCTACGGACAATTTACAATCACCAATTAACCTCAGCATGTTTGTGGACTGTGGGAGGAAGCCGGAGAACCCAGAGAGAACCCACGCTGCACGGGGAGAACATGGAGACTCCACGCAGGAAGATTCCTAGAAGCGACCTTCTAGCTGTGAGGCGACGGTGCTAACCACCATCCCTAATAATTTACCAATGAATAATAATCACCAGTTGAGCTGAAGTCAGAGAGCGAGTCCAGGCCGGTGACTCCAACACCTTCCACCGGGGGAAACGAGTCCAGGGCATCGAGGGATTCCAGCTGCTCCATGGCTCTGATGCTCATTTCACCGCCGTGACCGTTCTGATGACAGACGGTCTGCAGGGGATCCAGTTCGTCGAGCAGTTCATCGAGGGACTTTTCCCCAGCGTCCAGCTCTGTTTGGGGCTCACTGACCTCCTCAGCAGCAACAGCACTTGGCGTCATATCCAAGAAGTCATCGAGGCAATCAAGGGAGTCGAGGCCGAGCAGAGCATCCTGCGCTGCCGAGGCCTCCGCTCCGCCTCCAGAGGTCAAGAGGTCATCCAGGATATCCAGTGTTGTGATTGAGGTGCCGTGGCCGCTGCCTGAAAAGGAGTCCAGGGCGTTGAGCTGGCTGACGGCTGAGCTGAAAAAGGCGGGAGGCAGCTGTGGCGTCGGGGCGGGCAGGTCCCGAAGAACCGCACGCTTCAGAGTCGATGTCTGGCTGTGGACGGAAAACTCCGAATGGAGGCGAGTCTGGAAAACATGGAGAAGCAAACTGGAGTTAGGATGGAAGAAAAATGAGAAACTATATGTTTATAAGACGAACTCCCTCTTCGTGGTGTTTATCGGCAGCTGATCAAAGTGATCGGAGGTGAACCTACTGATGATTTCCATCAGTAGAAGCTACGATGTGATGAATATCAAAAGTCTGAACTGATTTTCTAATCAGCAACTTGCTTCAGTTAATAAAACTCCTTCTTCTCCTCCCGTTCCTGTCGCTCTCTCCTGCTCTAAATAAAGGCAAAAAGCCCCAAAATATATATATATATATATATATATATACATATATACTCCAAAGAATCCTGCATTTGACAGATTATGCACTGGGACATACTGAATCTTCTTCTGTCATACTATATAACAGCGGTGCCCAACCACCGGCCTGCGGACCGGTACCAGGTCGCACAGAAAGAATAAAAACGTTTTATTGATTTTTTTTCCAGTGGTGTCTGCAGGGTGTTTTATTTTGAAAAAAGCGTCTTCCCATCACATCGGTCTGTGCTTGTTTGCCGCACTTGAGTTTTCATCCCTGACCAGCCTCTGAAGCACTTCAGCATTATGAATGTATGATGGTGATGTTCTCCACCCTCGAGCTCAGTCATCCTCCACAACCAAGGACATCTGCCTCCTATCAGTAGCAGAAGTTTGATAGCTGGTGTGAAAGGACAAACTGTGTTCTACCTCAGCTGGGCCCTGCTCGGTAGGGAAGCAGTCTAGCAGGCTGTCCAGGTCGTCTCCCAGTCGCTCAGAGTCCTCCAGAGCTGCCACCCTGTCAGGCTGGCTGCAGCTGGGCGGCGGCGTGGAGGGGAAGGAGGGCTGAGGCATGCTGGGAAAGCTGACTGGAGAGAAGCAGGGGGACATTTATTTGGATTTTTTCCCATAACAGTAGAAATCATGACGCCACGTCTTACTAACAAATCCTCACCTGGTGCAACGACACTCAGAGGGTTCGTATCGTTTCCTAAATTCTCACCAGACACCTGGAGGGGAGAGGCGGGGAAAAATATAGGATCAAGCACAAATAAGAAAGAGGAAGATCTGAGAATAGAAGACGAGTAAAGGTTCAACAAAAACACACCTGACAGGAAACAGAATGTATTTAATTCCCTTGATGAGTCAAAACAAAATGTAATTTTTTGTGGAATAAAAGGAGAATTAAAAAAGAATAAAATAAAACTCTAAATGTTCCTTTTACTGACCTTTGCTTTGACGTAGGGTTTTCGGATTTTCAGTCCCAGGTGGACGGCCAGCTCCTGTGCGAGTTCGTTCACCTGTTTGTCCTGTCGAGATGACGGATATGCAGTGAAACACACTCATTACAAAGACCGTTAGATGAGATGCATTGCTTGTTTGAGAAACCACATACAGGCGTCCTACTGGAGATGTAACATCTGACCTTGGGTGATAAGAGTTTTTGATATTGCCATTATATCTAAAATAACATGTGTACATGGATAGAACCCATTTCACTTTGGACCACCAGCCAATCATGATTAGTGAAAGAAAACACCTATTTTGTGGTAACTTGGACGGAATACTGGTTTACTAGAGCTCAGGGCCATCATGGCCAGGCGACTACATGAACTCTTCCTCTACCTGAGGAGCGATGAGCAGACACTTGGTGGTGCAGCTGTAGGCGTCCTTGTGCTTCCCGAGCTCCTTCAGACAGAGCGCCTTCCTGTACAGGGCCCTGCGGCTCTCCTTGCACACCTCCAGAGCGCCGTCGCAGTCCTGCACTCCCTGATCGAAGTCGCCCTGTGGAGAGAAGAAAACAAGAAAAGACGACGAAGGACAAAGTGAAACGAAGTCAAAGGAGGAGCATCGACGGACAGGAAGCAAAGGCAAAGTGACACATGATGAAAGGTTTAATCAGGAAAGCCACCGGCAGGGCAGAGTTTTATTTCTCTACTTGGTTCTAATGTGTAGTTTTAAAAAAAGACGATAAATACGGTATGACCTTTGGAGTGTCCTGAATTATTATTGTTTTAAAACTTGGTTCAGTTATTGAGTGTTACAGCGTTTAAACTCTGGCAGATGAAGAAATCGACAAAATGATTTACTGCCACATTCCTTCAGGGGGCTGCAGGTGGATCAGTGGTTAGCACCGTGGCCTCACAGCTAGAAGGTCGCCGGTTTGTGTCCCGTTGAGGACACCCGGGATCTTCCTGCGTGGAGTCTCCATGTTCTCCCCGTGCAGCGTGGGTTCTCTCCGGGTTCTCCGGCTTCCTCCCACAGTCCAGAAACATGCTGAGGTTAATTGGTGATTGTAAATTGTCCGTAGGTGTGAATGTGAGTGTGCTTGGTTGTCTGTCTCTAAGTGTAGCCCTGTGATAGACTGGTTACCTGTCCAGGTGAACCTGCCTTCACCCTGAGTCAGCTGGGATAGGCTCCGCCCCCCACGTCCCTAGTGAGGATTAAGGTGTAGAGATGATGGATGGATGGACACTCCTTTAGGGGTTCTAAATGAGGTCGGTGTTTTTATTGAAAACTGTTCATTACTGTGATTTTTCCTCCTATCAGCCTGCAGCATCACATGGAGTTTAAACGTGTGTGTATACTTTGAAACATCCCAGTTCTTGTTGTGAACACTACATAATCCCAAACATGTGATTGTTGCATGTTTATTTCTAACATAAGAACATTATTTTTTTCCAAATGTTGTGTTATTGGGATATTTTCATCACACAGGCAGGAAACTAAAAAAACATCAGTGTTGACTGTTCTGTTGGTCAACACTGATGTTTGGCTGGATGATCAAGGACACGGACCTCTGGCCACCACGACGGCTTCACTGCTATGATCACAAGCCTGACGGAAGGCTAGGTATGGAGTTCATTATCGGTTTAAAGTACATTTATTTAAAACACAATATACAATTAATCGTAAAGTTACTAAAATTGGGTTTATAGTGATTTTTTTATTAGACGAAAAATTTCCTTCTGGCAGGAAATGACATAAATGAGCAGCAACAGACAGAAAGACATGGTTTTAGTAACGTGCACATTAAACTTTTTCTTTTTGCTAAAGCTCACTCTGTGCACGTCTATTAATGAGGCAGGTGCATCGCAGACGGACGAGCACATCCAACAGACTCCCAAACAATCTCTAACTTGCAATCATACATTTATTAACCTTCATCAGACAAATAGCACATTTATTTTTTTCACATTTTTGCTAAAAGTCTAAAATTATTCTTATTTTTCTCAGTAACTGATACCAAAGCCTTTATGTTCCACCACATTAATAAAACCGTTTTTCCCCCACTTCTCCTAATTATCAATAATAATAACTACTAACAGTCTCTCTGCACGCCTCCACTGGGATTCCACTCCTCTGTGTTTGTATCACACCGAGGGGGATGCTGTAGGAGGCCATGGCCTGCTTGGACCCTGATACACCTGCCTGCATTCTAGTTTCAAATCATTTCTTCTACAGGTCGATCTGCTTTTATTTGGCACTACAGCGGCCTCTGACTCACTCGGGTCGGGTTTGGGTGTGGACAAGCATTCGTAACAACATTTTAACAGTTTGTTTGTGGGACCAAACCCATCTCACCATGCTGTGGTAGGCGGCGGCCCTGTTCACATACAGGCTCTCCAGCAAAGCTTCGGGGATCTGGATCTCCTCCGCTTCGGCGTAGCACCAGACATTCAAGCCCTCGCTGAACTCTTTGACGGCCCGATCCCACTCTCGGTCTCGGAAGAAGGCATTTCCCTCGTCGAGCAGGTTGCATACTAACCGGGTCAAGAAGTCCTGGACGGGTGGAGAAGACAAAAGGGAACAAGATGCTGGTGGAGTGTTCCTACAGCGTAAGGCCTGTCACGACTGAAGCACGTGTATGATTGTGTATTCTGCAGAAAAGACTGAAGCAGGAATCTAGATTTTAAAAAGCATCAAACCAGTCTATCACAGGGCTACACTTAGAGACAGACAACCAAGCACACTCACATTCACACCTACGGACAATTTACAATCACCAATTAACCTCAGTATGTTTGTGGACTGTGGGAGGAAGCCGGAGAACCCGGAGAGAACCCACGCTGCACGGGGAGAACATGGAGACTCCACGCAGGAAGATCCCGGGTGTCCTCACCGGGACGCCAACCTTCTAACCACTGAGACACCTTGCAGCCCACAACACCAGTCCCTGTTAGGATATTAGGTGTTTAGGTACTTCGGTGGGCTTTCTCATTGCTACTTCTGCCTTTTGTTCATATTTATCTCTTGATGTATTGTCTGATCTCACATGTATGATCACGTTTGCACCCCGGCTCTTGCCATCACTGCAACTTTTACCCGGAATGACAGAATCCAACACAATTGAACAGATTCGGCAACGTCTCACATCTGAAAACTCTCACAAAGCGAGCAGCTCTTACGTCGACACATCCTTGAAAACAAAGCAGAGAGTAGCTGCACGGCCTCCACGAAGAAAACGGGCAAAAGATTTAAAAAAACAGATTGTAAAAACATGTCTTTGATTTCACACGCAGCCAGGAATGAAAATAAAGATGGAAGAAAGGAACAGACGGAGAAGTTTCAAGGTGAAACACAGCAGAGGCTGCAGCATGCAAATACGTGAGCATGAAACCCAGAGAGCAGAAAGGCAGAACTCTATAAACAGCTGGTGGAACAAGTTACAGCAGCTCCTGCTTTCTTTCTGTCTTTATATTGATTTGTTTTTGGAGAGGGTTTCACTACAAGTGTGCAGAGGTACAGCTGCTAATTTGCCTTTTGCTCTGTTTTTCCAGTTATGAGTAACGCTGTTTATTTATTCTGCAGCTCGATCACTTCTTCCAGGATCATCTCACACTATTTTCTTCCCCCGTATCACTCTTCCGGTGCCACATCATCAGTTTACGACCCAACAACATGTAAAACAAATCCATACGTAAACTCACCACGTCACAGCTGCACTAGTCCATAAGTAAATCCACTACGTCAGTCACATTCTAAAATAATGGCCTGAGTCTAAATCATCTCCTCATGCTGCTGGCCACCTCCCTACATCCTCAGGTGAACTGATCAACCTGTGAAGTGCCACTTAGGCCATTTAAGAAGCTTTTCAAGAGCTTCAAGAAGAACGAAAATCCACCTGAAGTTATCTCCGTGATTCAGGGCTTATTGGTCAGTGATGAGGTTTAGTATAACACAGGCTAGGATGTAAACACTGCATTATTCTGTCTGTTTAGTCAGCAAAACAGCTGGAGCTAGCATTTAGCAAAGAGTGCAAACGCTCCAGAATCTTTCTCAAACTATATTTCATCTACAATTTTTTTTCCACATTACACGATCTAATTAAGAAAGATTTGAATAAAAGCTGGAAGCTATGTGTATAACTAAAACAAATTAGAAAGGATCTCTTTGTGTTTTTAGTTAATGAGCATAATAGTAGTGATCATGTGACCGACAGCGTCTAGAGGCCGCTTTGGGAATGTGGCCACAAGGCAATGGAGGTTTTATTTCCAGAATGATCACATTTCCCTTCATGTAAATATGTAAATATTGTTAAATTCGTGTTCTCAGTGTCCTTGTGTTCTTCTGTTGTTCTTATTTATATTGTATATATCGTGTATACTGGTTTTAACAGGCGACATCTCCTCCACTGGCTCCCTGTCCGCTTTAGAATTGATTTTAGGATTTTACTGATCACTTTTAAAGCTATATTTTAGATATGTTAACCCCGTACATCCCCACAGGCAGCCTTAGATCCTCAGGTGGGTCCCTCCTGATCGGGTCGAGGCTTAGATCCAGAGGCAGCCGGGCCTTTCCTGTGAGGGCCCCTCGGCTTTGGACCGACCCACCTGAGGAAATGAGACTTGCAGATCCAGTATCTTCTTTTAATATCATTTCTTAAAAGTCACTTTTATAGACTCGCCCGTTACTTTTCCTTTTTATATCGGTACTGCCTGCTGTCCGGCTCTCGTTTCTCGTTCTTAATCTACTTTTATCTTCAGCTTTTATCTTCATTCCTCTGTGATGTCGTCTTTTTAACCAGTTTTATTATAACATACCTTCCAATCGTGTTCTTCTCCATTTTTATTGTGTGTATTTTTATATTTTGAGTGTTTGCCTGCTCTTTTTCTACATGTTGTTGTTTTCCTGTGTTGTCTTGTCTCTCTGTGTGTTTTTTTATTATGTAAAAGCACTTTGCAAATTCTGTTCGTAAAAATACAAATAAAGTTTATTATTATAATATTATATACGTCGCCTCTTTGATTTCTAGTTGTGTTTTCTTGCTTTTCTTTCCGTCACTTTGCTGCTGTAACGTTGCACATCTCTCCTTGTGGGACTAATAAAGGATTTCTGTTCGTGACTCAAAGGGTTGAAATGTTTTTCCTTTTTGGCCGGAGATGCACTTTATTCCTCTAATTCTTATTAGTGTGTCTACAGTCATTTATTACTATATATTCAATATTGGGTTCAGTTTTTTTGGTGTGGTTTCTACAAAACCTGACTGAAGCCATTCATCGTGTCTGCTGTATGTCTGTATGAAAACTTTATTATGACATCTTCTTTATATTTTTCTCTCATGCCACATCTGCATCCAGCTGCTGTAAGAGCCAGTGAAGGTGATCCTCTCTTACCTGGTAGCCCTCCGGTTCTGGGTAAGCCAGCGAAGACCTGCAACACAAAAGAGGCACAACTCGCTGAGAGTCACTGGCACCGCTTCGCTGTAAATGCTGTGAGTCAGTTAGTTTCACTTTCTCTACAAATGCACTTTAAACGGCCTCACTGTATGAAGTTCAGAGCTTCTCTTATGTCCTCCTTGCGCTTCTGTCGAGCGGGGTCCATGCCTGTTGACCGAGGAGCGGAACAACGCAGACTTTGACAGAAGCTAAGCAGCTAATTGAAGTAGAGAGCAGGAAACCAGCAGCTCTCACACGCCCACACAGGAGCTGCCAGTGCTGCTGGGCCAGCTGGAGACACACCGACCTGACCGAGCGAGGAAGTTCATTGAAGCGAAGTTTAAAAGCGGCTCGTGCGGGTTCCTGGGAGGGAGACGCGGGCAAAGTTTGAGGCGCTGAGAAGCCGAGCAGCCGCCGACAGCAGCGGGAGAGCGGAGGGAAGCCGCCGAGGCTCAACGCGCACCTCTGGGTTAAGTTTCGATTCCCTGCCGCCGTCAGATCCAGACCGCCCCTGAACGCCCCACTGCTCCGGAGTGGCCACGTGACCTACGCACTCGGTTTTTCAAAAATGAACTTTATTGACAAAAACAACGTTACAATATGAGTGACAGCAATGTGAAAAATAATTGACAATTTTTTTTTACAAATTTGATCAGAATCAAGTTAAAAAGTGAGAAGTAGAATATAGAAAAGTGGAATATGTTTTAATGTTTTTTTTCTTTTTCTTCTTCTTCTTCTTTTTTTTTTTAACAAAGTCCACAGACAGAATCACAGAATGTCAATACGAAGTGCATAAACTTTATTGACAAAAGAATGTCGTCACAATACAAATAATAGTTCGCACAATGTGAAAAATGATTGACAGAAAAATACAATAAATCTAATCAGAATCAAGTGAAAAAGTGAAAAGTTGTATATGTCTTATAGTTTTGTTTTTTTGTTTTTTTGTTTTTTTTAACAGACTACACAGACAGAATCACAGAATGTCAACACAAAGCTATTTTTTTTCTTGGAAACTGATGTAATCAGGCCGTGTGAATAACACGTGTAACCAGAAGACACAAATCAGGTTCTTAATCTCATTCATTGGCTCTGTCTGTATTTTTCTGGTGATGCTGACAGCTGCTTCAGTCTGTTATTAGACCAGTTATTAGAAACTAATGTTTAAATTGGAGGTCATTTTAATAAACCACATAGTGCTTAAAAATTGCCAGGGGAACAGACATGGGAAACATTTTCTGTGTTTTTTTCATTCAGTGTTTATCAGAGCTGATTCTGCTCATTGATTTGAGTTGTCTGCTAACAGAAGCACAGTGTTGATCTTTCTCATGACACCAGCAACACTGTCAACAGCACACGACCTCCCATAACACTTATGTTAAAGGTTTACTGTACTTGACCACCACATTTAACTTTGAATACAGTTTCGCTGTGATCATATAAATTCAGAGATGAGACAACCAGAGAGTCGTTGTTAAACAGTCCGTGTGTGTGTTCACACAGGAGACAGTACGTACCTGCACCTATGATCATCCGATCAGACAGCAAAGGCTGTAAGTACACAAATGTGGCGCCACATCAGGGTAGTCATGCAAAACATTGAGTGCTCAGAGGACGACAGGCTTGTCTGGCCTTCATTAAACATATTTCCCTTTCATACAGAGTCTATTGTTGCGCATTAGAAAACAACGATAATGTAAAGTCCATCTATTTTAGCTCACATCTGATCAGTAACCTTGATGTTATCCTGAGTTGTCTTTAAACCATCGTAGGCTGGTAGCGTTAAATGTGGTGTGTACATCTTATTTGTAGACTAGCATCTTGACAGTAGTATGATTTGGATCTGGTTTTGTATTTGATTTTTAAAGCCCCTTCAGACACTCTGTCTTCACCACCATTGATCTGATGGCAAATGAACGTGTTGGCTTGATGTCTGAATGTCACCCTGCTCACTTTCCTGTAACAGGTGCAGTCATATTAAGCCACAGTGATGTTTTACATTAAACAGAGCACAAGTCTGGACTGAATGCAGGTGCATTAACAGGTGGACGCAAAATCACAATGTTAGGCGAGTTGTGTGCAGTGATTCGGGTAAGACTCATATTGTTGCACCAATATTCATCCACAGAGGGCTGAAGACACAGTTTACTGCCAAAATCACCAAACCCGTTTCTTCTTTACTTTGTGCTTTAATTTAATCTAGGTTTTGTCTAATAGGAGCCGAAGCTTACTTTGCTGCTTCCAGCTATTTGTAGAAATGTTTCCTCTTAGTTGATGAAGCACCTGCAGCATCTGACACACTAAAACACTGGATGTTCTCAGGGAAAGTCGCTGATGACGTGTTCAGGTGCGTCAATGTGATTGTACCATGTGTTAAAGGAAGTAGCTTAAATTATGAGAGAGTCTGAAACAAGCAAAGCACATGAAAG